ATATAATAATTATTATCATTATTATTATTAGGAATCACGAGTCTCTCCTCCCGTTTTATTCGGGTCTATTGGATAAAGATACCATAGAGATCCTGCTCTAAAATTTAAAAATAAGCTGCGTTCAAAATGGCTTTCGATGCAATAACAATCTTATTCCCTATCCCACTCTCCTCACCTAAACCTGCCACCACCTCTACTCTCACCCCCCTTCACCCATCCCCCCACCCCCACCCCCACAAAAGCCCGACAAAAACAATCCATCCTTTTGTTCCTCCTGTGTACTCCTCATCCGTTTCTATTCCCTTTTATAACTTCCGTAATTTAGGGAAGAGGACAAGACTTTTTTTTCGATTAATGCAAAGCTATATTTTGAGAAGAAAGGACACTAACTTCCGACGGTTTGCTCCTGAAAAAAAAGAATAAATATATAAAACAAATCAGAAAGAAAGAAATGGGATGGATCGCGAAAAGAAGAATAAGGTGAAGAAAAATGATTGGAAAGATTAGCATCGATGGGGGTGTATTTTAATATGAGCCTAACCGCTGTCAACATCTATTTGCGGTGCTACCCGATTCTAGGCCCAACAGTATTTGGAGACAAGAACACAGATAAAATTCTTCATTTCCCGCTAATCACGAGTGTGGGCCGATATCTTTCTTCATTTTAATCCCTCTCCATTTTCCACGTGGTTTGACATTTGAGACAAATGGTTCACGGGTAAAAATAAAGAGTTTCGCAAAGAACGCTGCCAAATATCAGCTCAAATCGTTTTTCTTTCCCTGCGTGTCTCATTGGAATAGAAGGGTCCGTGGCGGGTTAGGACAACATAATGGAGTTTGATCATGACATGAAATGAGAACAACATTCTGCATCGTTTTAAATGGCAGCATTGTATCGTTAGACGCACTGACATTTGGGAATTCTATAAAAAAAGAAGGATCAAGTTTTCAATATTCGGCATTTCCAAGTAATGAATTCTTTCGTTTCATCTTAAGCATACCAACACTTGTGGATTCCCAGCGTCATAAAAGGCAATGTAAATCGTGGCATAGTTTATCCTGATGAGGGCAGTTAGTCTGTTTCAGAGACGTTCTCAGCTTTTCAAGATACCGTGACCAATACCAAGACTTGAAACGACTTTTATTTCAAGTTATATAACAATGAACACTGAGCTCGATTACTGATTTGCCTGAGTGTAGGCGTGAACCTTTTCTTCCATTTTTGTTTTCAAATTGATATTATCTTTTGCGAACACATTTTCGAGGTACCTCAATGAGTGCAAAAATCTCACTAAAATCTACACTAATGGTCTAAAACTTTGGGGTTTTCCAAAACATTTGCAGTGCAAGAATGATATATCATTTTGAAATACTTTTGCAAGGAGAGTTAATAAAATCTATGTCCCAAAATGTTGAGGAAAACTGAGCAAGCTATGTTGTAATCGATCTGTTTGGGTGGTTTTTGAACAAGGTTGTAATCTCATTGTTTCTGGGTGAGTCCCCCTCCCACCCTAGGGATAAGCCAGGATACGCCCACCTGCATTATGTAATAACCGTTTACATTTTAAACACTTTCCTTTCAGTTCCCTTTCGATGTAATTTAATTCTTGTATTCCCTCTACATAGGTGCATAACAAATGTTATTATTATTATTATTATTATTATTATTATTATTATTATTATTATTATTATTATTATTATTATTATTATTATTATTATTATTATCATTATTATTATTATTATTATCTTATTATTATTTTCTCTTCACTTTTATCCTATTTGAAAAGTTCTGTCGAAAATCTAAAAAACTCTTCAGTCGTAGATAGAAGGTGCTACTGTGTGTCCCAGTGTTTCACATACGGGTATTTGCCATCAGTTTGCTTTTGATCATGTTTGTCTATCTTGCTTTGACCAAAAATCGTACATAACCAGATTGTTCACTCCTCTCTTGGAGCCTATTAAACAAGTGTCCTAAAAATTCGGTGGCACGGACTTTGCGAACAGTTACCCTGCTTGTGTGAAAAACAATAAAAGTGAAACTAACAAGTAGTGCTATTCCTATTCTTTTTCTGGAGAAACGAAAGAGAGCTTCAAAACCTTGGCCATCGATAATTTATTCATAGAGGCACCAGCCAACAATGTCCAGGTGCTGTTTCAGGGAGCTTCAAAACAAAGACTGCCATCTGAAGCAATGCACTGACTTCCGCAGACACTTTTTTTGGCTGAGTGAACCATCCTGTTGTGTACGATCTTTGCTTTGATTCAGCACTGGAAGACCCTTACGGTATTGATATCTCCCTCACTGCCCTCCCAGGCACTCCGGTCTGTGCGTGGCGCTTCTGAAAAAGTATTTTGTTAGGAAAGCTTAAATGGCTTTTCATCGTCCGGTTGGTGAAAGGGTCGTAGGTGTTGTCGTTTAAATGAGTGTACCAAATCAAGAAAAATAGTTCCTTCTTATATTCGATTTTGATAGCTTTTTACCTTTTCAAAACGCATTACAGGATTTTTGACGAAGACAAATTTATGTAAACCTTAGCAGTGAGGCGCGCGCGCGCGCGTGTGTGTATGTGTGTATGTGTGTGTGTGTGTGTGTGTGTGTGTGTGTGTGTGTGTGTGTGTGTGTGTGTGTTTGTGTGTTTGTGTATGTGTGAGAGTGCACACGTCCATACATAAATACACTCACAGACATACTCAACCACCCTTATCTCCTCCGTCAGTTCATGGTCTAAAACAAATAAATTATTCGAACATACACTGCAACGTTTTAATCTCAAGTATGCTAGGTCATATATTGTAACCACAGGCACGTTTAATGGAAAGAGAGGCAGAGGCAGACAGAGGGAAAAGATACTGGACAAGATGACAACACGGCTAGGAGCAGCAAGAACAACAGACACCATTGCTGCAACGCAAGACAGAGTGAAGTGGAGGTCCATGATCGCCCACGCCAGTCGGCAAGGCACCGGATGATGATGATGCTAGGTCAAGAAATAACCCCTTTTCACCTCATAAATGAAACATAGCAATTCTTCAAAAGTCGTGACTCTTCATTTTGCTGTTTTAATTCAATTCTCAGGTCGCTGACACAGTGTCTAACGTCATCACCACATCATGTGCACTCAGCCAGGAAAGTGCGTCAGTCTTCTTTGGTCGAGAAATGGTCACGTGAACTTCGACCTGGAAGGAGTAGAGAAAGGAAGCCGAATATAACCACTCGTTTTACTACTATCATGTGCAATGAAACTATGATGCCCATAATAATATAGCGAATTTTCTCTCATCTTAAAGTGTTATGTTTTGCTTTCACGTTGAAAATAATATTCATTAATCTTTTTTCTTTTAATGTTGAACCGTGATTTTTTAAAAGTTTAATCTTTAATTGTATGATAAATATTCTATGGCTATGTTTTCTGTTATTCATTCATTTCTATGAATATTCAAGTGTTACATAATTATAATGTGTTGACTGATGTCTGTGTGTCTTAAATGGATGGAGAACTGAGGGCGGAAAGATTTGCTTTCTCCTAACTGTTATATTAGACTGAGTGATGTTTGTCATAAAATAAAATGTCGTACGAAATAGTGGAAAAGAAGGGAAAACAGAGTTTGGGATATAATAATCAGGCCAAAGAAAAATGAATAGATTCTTTAGAAATGCCCAAATGACGCTGCTTGTTATAATCATGACAATTGTTAGTTTGGGTATTAAAGGTGTATGATTGTACTGATGTTATTGTTTGTATTCACCCCTCCTCTTTCCTTCTCTCTCTCTCTCTCTCTCTCTCTCTCTCTCTCTCTCTCTCTCTCTCTCTCTCTCTCTCTCTCTCTCATTCTCTTTCTCTGTATGTATATGCGTGCGTGCGTGCGTACGTGTGTGTGTGTGTGTATGTGTGTGTATGTGTGTGTGTATGTGTGTGTGTGTGTGTGTGTGTGTGTGTCTGTGTGTGTATGTGCGTGTATGTTTGTGTGTGTAAGAGAGAGAACGAGAGCGAGAGGGAGAGAGAGAGAGAGAGAGAGAGAGAAAAAGAAAGAGAGAGAGAGAGAGAGAGCAAGGGAAAGCAAACGAGAGAGAGATGGCGAGAGATACGGAGAACCACCTTAAAAATAAAGGGAAAGAGAGAAAAGATAGATAGATAGATAGATAGACAGACAGACAGATGGATGGATGGCTGGATGGATGGATGGATGGATGGATAAAAAAATCAATAAATAGCTAGATAGGAGAAAATAAAAGTGAGAAACAAAAAGAAAGAGGGAGAAGAAAGGAAGAGAGTGTGAAGACGTGAAAAAAGGTGAGAAGCAGTATGATAAAGGGCTTGTATTTACAAATATTTATATTTCATCGTAATGCTCCTACCCTACTCATACTGTCGGATGAAGGGTACAGCGATAATGAAGTCTCTGATCTGTTGTACGTGCTTTATATTCACTGTATTATACACATGATTGGCTTGAGTTTATTTGGATTATGATTTTGAGAAAAGTGAATGTTGAAACAAAGCCTTTCTCCTTCCTCCTGAAAGATACACTGCTTGGGTTCCCGTGGAAAACAAATCACTGTGTAAAGTTGATTAAAAGGCGTTGTGCTAAAAAAGCAGCATTAGTGCAAATAACTCGTACAGAAAGCACAACGCGAGACATTAATTCTCCAATTATGTTATGATTAATAACTGTGTGACCCAAGACACGATATTCATCATAAGATCGTGAAAATAATATACCAAAACATTTGGTGTGAAATCAAAGCTAATAACATTTTTCTCCCTACCCCCCCCCCCTCGCAAAACACTTAAAGAAAAAACATATTTAAAAGAAGAGAGAGGACCAATCGACAAGCAGTTACATATTATATTACGACCACTAACGTTCAGAGGCCGGATTGACTGTGCACCACCAGCTGAAATGGTGTCTGTTCTTTATATTTTTAGACACACACGCCTAAAAAAAACCCGCCAGGCAACTTAAGCTCAAGAGGAATGAAGATAAACTAGAAAACATGAAGCTTTAATCAAGCAGATATCACGGGCTTGTCCACGTGTGAGTATATCTCTCCTTTCCTCCGAGCTGTGCATTTCTGGTGGCTCTCGGATTAGCCTTTAAAGATCATAAATGCACCTACTGATAACTTTTTTTTCAGCTGTTCTAAAAATGCACATCTTCTCCTCTGCTTCCACTAACCTGATCTGCACAGTTCTTTTTGTAGTCCATGTCTATGGGATATGGTTTTGGGTGGGAGAAGGAGAAGAGCATTGGAGCTGACTTATTTTGAAATATAAGAAAAGACAAACAAGACATGTGAAGTATTCCTTGCTATAAAATCTAGATAATAAAACTTTTAAAACGAAAACTGGTGGTTCACTGACTGCCGTGTCAATTACGCAGTTCAGAATATGGGATTTTTCTAATGAAAGGGGAGTCACAGAATGTGTTATTAAAGCTTTTCATCAATGAAGCCAAAACTCACAAAAGAATCATGCTCAGATTGTATCCTCCTGAAATACAGTGCATATGGCCATGGTTCGAATGTCCGACGGGGTGTTCCTGAACTTGCATTGTTTGGAAAGCTCCCCCCCCCCTCCCAAATCTCATTGGGGATAGACTTGGTACTTTTAAAAAAGATCTTGCAGTGTGCGTAGGGCCGTGAATCCAATGCCACACCTCACCTTACCACATCTTGTTAGAATGCTGTTCTAAACTGTAGAAAGAGAGAAGTGTTATTAAAGCGTTTCATCAATGAAGCCAAAACTCTAATAATCCAGGTATTAGTTGTAAAGCGCGTTAAGCATGCTGAAGAGCATGGGTATGCATTGTATAAATGCAAATATTATTTATTATTACCATTACTTTCCAATGAATGCGGATACCCAGAATAAACTTGTGAAAAAAATCATAAACACTTGGCAAATTGTAATGTGCACACGTTTTGGTTTAGCTGTATGTTCCCTAAACGATCGAGAAAACCTACGATAAACAACAAGTTTTTTACCACCTTTTAGTGAAAGCTGCAATGAAAACCCTGTTCGTTTTTGGTACAGTGATCCAGCTGGTGAAGCATGCCTTTTGGCGCTCACTGAGTTACTTATGATGAAAGATTTGAGACCCTCAATGTGGGGATTCGGATAGGGTGGTAGGTGGTTAATGGCCAGTCGAGCGAGGGGCAATCCCGGGGGGCAACAGAGACAGACTAAACCAATGCGAATGGAATGGGAGTGTTTAGAGCCGTTTTACCTGGAGACGGGCGCTCGTTCGAGAGCAATATTGTTTACGAGAGAAAACGACTGTTGAAAATCACTTCCACTGAGATAGCGGAAGTTTGAGAAACAAATGGGAGTTTACTGTAGAAAGAAAACAAATGTCTAAAATAAAATTTAATTATTTGTCTCCGACTCTCTGTCTCTCTTTCTCTCTCTCTCTCTCTCTCTCTCTCTCTCTCTCTCTCTCTCTCTCTCTCTCTCTCTCTCTCTCTTTCTGTGCGGGTGGTTGGCGGCTGCTCTGGTGTCGTTTGCTCCTTCATTCCTATCAACATCTACCCCTCTCTCTCTCTCTCTCTCTCTCTCTCTCTCTCTCTCTCTCTCTCTCTCTCTCTCTCTCTCTCTCACATACACACACACACACACACACACACACACACACACACACTCACACACACACACACGCGCGCGCGCGCGCATTCACGAACACTCTGTCACTCGCTCGCTAGTTCTTCTCTCCCTTTACCTCTCGACCAGAAAACCGACAGGCATGAGAAAAGAATGGAAATATGCCTTTTCTCATCTTCGTGGCGGGTGGCAGAAAACAGAATATCATATTGCCAGTGTCACACCCAGACTTCCTCTCTACATGCATCATTTATGCAAAAATAGGGAAAGAAAACATGGTATTGGTTTGCATGAAAATTCCTGCAAAGCCACTTATGATTCGGGACCTTTATATCTCCGAACAATTCACATTTCTAGAACTCCACGTACGAGATTCGAACCACGACACCCCTTATCATAGCAAATATTTCTTTCGTAAAGGTAACCTTTTTCCAAACTGCTTGTCATTGTGACAATTCTTCATGATATAAAATGCTATGTACCAAGGTTTTGCTTGGAATACCTAAATCACTTTTTTTCATTATTTCTTTTTCTTAATTTTTGCCCCTGAATAAAAAGTTTCCAAGACACCAACTGAAATATCCAATGAATCAATCAATAAAAGGAAGAAAAAGACATTGTTGTATCCTTTTTCTTTTCGTTTAGGTTCTTTCCATTACATGAAGCAAATGGGTGTAAACCCTGATAGAGCATAAATATATAGCTAGAATAATAGTTAACATTTGCTTGTGTTCTAAAAGTATAATGAATGTCTGTGGTGTCTTGAACTTGGGATTTTTCGCTATGGGGAATCAACTGACTATTGGAGAAAAGGGCAGGGGGGAGGGGTTAGTGGAGAGGGAGAAGAAAAGAAGGAAGTGTAATAAGGGGATTTCAGATCCAATGGTGATTAACTCGAAAAACTCTCAGAGTGCAGTGTTTGAAGACGTGAAGACGGACAATGGCTTGCTTTTTGCCTGCTTATATGAGGCTCATCCTGCTGCGACAATAGATTTTGCTGTCACGCTTTGTTTTTTGTTGTTTTTGGTTTAAAAACTGTCGAATGCATTCGTTTCTTCAGTTATTCTTTTTTGCAGTTTCTCTGTACTGATTTAACTGCATGCACTGCATCTTTATGCTGCGTCTATTACTACTGTTGCCGTTATAATCCATTTTAAGCTGTTTTCTTCAAAACGTTGTTCTTTTGCCATGATCATAATTTCATTTTTGTTTTTTAATTTTTAAATGTTTTATAAAAAAAGCAAACGTTTGTTTTTGCCGATTTGTTTGAATTTGTGTTTTTTGCCCGTTCCTTAGGTGGGACAGGTATTCTTGGTTAACAGTTAACAGTTTTTATTGTTATATGTTTAGAGCATAATTCTTTCCATGTTTATTTGACATTTAAACTCTTTTGTTATTATATGTTGGTTCCAGCGTACTGTTTATAATCGGTGTAGACACATAAACCTCGCAGTGACAAACATGGACAAAATGGCACACTGGGTTGATTCACTCTCCTTGAAAAATGCTCGCATTTGATGCTTTACTACAATAGCTCCCAGTTTCTAATATGATTACATACATATATATGTATATATATATATGAGTGTGTGTGAGCGTGTGTGTGTATGTGTATGTGTGTGTGTGTGTGTGTGTGTGTGTGTATGTATGTGTGTGTGTGCGTGTATGTGTGTGTGTGTGTGTGTGTGTGTGTGTGTGTGTGTGTGTGTGTGTGTGTGATATGTGGGTGAATATAAACCCTTGCAATAGAAATATCTTTGTAACTACGTAAAACAAGGAAGCTTTCGTTTTTTAGATTGTTCTGAAATAAAAACAGTAATACATAGATTTATACGCGTGTGTGTGTGTGTGTGTGTGTGTATGTGTGTGTGTGCGTGTGCGTGTGCACGCGTGTGTGTGTATATGTGTGTTTGTTTGTGTGTCTGTGTGTGTGTGTTTCTTTTGTATGTGTTAGTGTTAGTGTGCACTCTTATTTCTGTGTATGCCTGTGT